CATTCACCCAACCCCCTAACTTGAAGGAGAAAACATCCCCCCTCCCCCGCATACACACACGCACGCACCAACCCCAACAACCTCCGTACCTTCCCCAAGAAAACACCCTCCCCCTCCCACACCCCTCTCTCTCTCTCACACACACACGCGCGTGCACACACACACACACCCACACCCACAGACACACACACACACACACGCACATATACATCCTTTCACTTCCCCCAACCCCCCAACTTCCACCCCATTCCCATCTCCCTCCGAGACATCAAGTGCACATCGGACGGACGGACGGACGGACGTACGTAGGCGTCGCCGTCATGCGTGCCTGTTTACCATCACACTCTCACTCCGAGCCAACAACGCCGTCATCAAAGCCTTGCTCGAGAGACACAAGAGAAGAAAAGGAAAGAGAAAAAAAACCCCACTAATCACACTGCAGTCACCACATCACTGTCCTTGGATGGTAATTAATTAACGCTGCTTTCAACGCAATCATGTTCTGCTGACGGTAAGATGTTGAACTGAAGCTGGCGATGGATTAGAATTTTCATTCAATTTTTAAAAGGATGGAGGTTGAAAAGGGGATTGGGGTAAGGGGGGGGGGTCTGGGTCGCAGTAGGAGTGTTCGTTAAAATGGTTGAGGAATGAGAAAAAATAGGGGATGAGCTAGGAGCAGCTACTGAGAGGAGGAGTGCAGTGCTCGACGGTGGAGGGAAAGAAAAGCAAAAGAAGATGTATGCACTGACAGGAGCACAAGAAAGGGGATGCAAAGAAGATTGTATAAAAAAAAAGAAATTGTTACCCGTAGAGATAGACAGGAGAAAAAGAGACAAAGAGAAATGGAGCAACTCGTGTAGATACAGAGAGAAAGCGACACAGAAGAATACGTTAACACAGAGATAGAGAGGCAAAGCAAATGCAAGATATTAAAAGACGGAGAGAACGATTAGGAGAGAACTGTACTTAAATATCCAATAATTATCAAATGATGATTGAGCACAATATTTAGAACTGAACAAAAAATGTTTCGTTTTTTTGTTTGTTTTTTGGCAACAGAATAAGACTTTGTCTCTAGATCTAATGACTTTTCCCCTGGATTAATTAACTAGACAAAATTGTCTAGAAAGGATGTATCAAAGAGGAATACATTCTTAGTAGAATTACACATAAAGAAAAATGATGAAAAGAGCTTTAAAGATAAGGAAGTAAAGAGAAGTAACTCGTCACAATAATTGTCAGTTAGTGTGCTGGGAATAAGTAAGACAGACAGACAGACAGGCAGACAAACAGACAGTCAAAAAAGGAGTAAAACTTACAAGTGGAGCCCTTCAACCATAACTGCTTCGTGCTTAAGATCAAGACGACCTACGTAGAACATAGATACGTGGTTGTGCGTCGTTAACAGTACGTGTAGCTCAAAGAAATCTCCTTAGGCGGACCCCAGTTGTATTTCTTTAGTTTTAGTAAGAGTTTTATTGCACTTGCAACACAATAAGGTCATATAAGTGCCGAAGATTAGATGTGTTTTCAAGAGAGTAACAAACACAAAAAAGGAGGAGAGATAAGGACGATAGATGTCTGATAGGAAAGAAGTAGCAAACCATACATTAGCATCCAAAAACCACCCACTTCCCAAGCCGACTTTTGTCGCCTTAGAACTAGTTTGTCCAAAGTGGACTTGAGTTAAGAGGGCATTTTGGACAAAATAGTCCGGAGGCGAAATTTTATTGAACTTTTTCTACTAACAGATGTACCACAAAAGTTGCCACTTTCTTTAAAAGACAGCACAGAGAGCCTTGAAGTCGTAATACGGTAATAGTAAAAGTCAAAAGAATACCAAGACACGATGATCCACGCACACTTTATCAGATTCCTTTGCTCTTCCAGGACAGTTGTGAATTGTATTATTTTCCCAGTGCCCTAAAGAATAATCTATAATTATGACTCCAGGGGCGCTTTTGAAATCATGCAGGCAACTAATGGTTTATTTACTCATTTACATAGTGTGTGTTGTTTTGTTTTGTTGCTGGGCTTTTTTTTTCGTCCAGATACGAGAACACTTTTGTAGTTTACCACACTAACATCGTTTCACGTGACACGGTAAATGTCCTCGCGGGCACTTATTATGACTTCAAAGATATACTGGGACAGCTAATGATCTGCAAACATTCATTCCAAAAGTTATGTTTTTCTCCCCCCCCCTCTCCCCCCTCTCTCTCTTTCTCTCTCTCTCTCTCTCTCTCTCTCTCTCACTCTCACTCTCACTCTCACTCTCACTCTCTCACTCTGTCTCTG